ATTCCATGGTATAGATAAACCACATCTTCTTGATCCATTCGTCTGTTGATGGATACTTAGGCTCTTTCCATGTTTTAGCTATTGTTGAGAGTGCTGCTATGAACTATTCTCTCTTTTCTTAATGTTTATTTATTTTGAGAGAGAGAGAGTGAGAGCTAGTGGGGGAGGGGCAGAGAATCCAAAGCAGGCTCCAGGCTCTGAGCTGTCAGCACAGAGTCCAACGCAGGGCTCAAACTCATGAGCTGTGAGATCATGTCCTGGGTCTAAGTTGGTTGCTTAGCTGACTGAGCCACCCACATGCCCTAACTTCCTATTCTTTCTTTTGGGGTGAATTCCTCCATCTGGTCATTTTGTCCAGAAAAGAAAAATAAAAGCTACATCTAGGTGTGTTTTGGTCTGCTTGTTAAAAGAAGCTTCCACAAGGTAGTTGTTTTTCTACTTGTGGTAGACTTGTGGTTTTCTTCTCTTAGATTGATTTCTTGAGTGTTCAGAATGATTTGACATTTATCCAGCTGTATTCGAAGGATGAGGTAGGCCTAAGGTCCCCCTACTCCTGCACCATCTTAACACCCCTCCCTGGGGAACGTATAGCTAATGGCATCTCAGGGTTTTAATTTGGGTCACATCTTTTCATATGCTTGTTGGCTATATGTATATAAATTCTTTTGTGAAATGTATTTTTGTAAAAATATTTCAAAGTTTTTGCCCAGTTTTAAATTGGTCATCTGTTTATTATTGACTTCGTTGGAATTCATTACATATTCTGTATACAAATCCTTTGTCAGATTCATGTATTGTGAATATTTTCTCCCAGACTGTTGCCTGCCTTGTCATTTTCTTACTGATGGCTTTGATGTGTTTTGATGAGCAAAGTTTGAAGAGCAAGTTCTTAATCAAGTCCAATTTATCATTTTTTCCTTTTATGGGTTAGTGCTTTTTATGTCTTAAGAAATCTTTTCCTACCCCAAGTTCACAATAATCTCCTATCTTTTCTTCAAGAAACCTTATAGCTTTAGCCTTTATATATAAATCTGCTATCCATCTAAAATTATCTTTTGTGTATGGTAGGAGATAGGGGTTGAGGTTCATCTTTTTTTCATGTGTTTATCCAGTTATGCTAGCTCATGTTTTATTTTTTCAAGTTTTTTTATTTCTGTTCCAGTATAGTTAGCATACAGTGTTATGTTAATTTTAGGTGTACAACATAAATTCAGCTATTATGTACATTACTCAGTGATCATCACAAGTGCCCTCTTTACTTTAATATTTATGTATTTTGAGAGAAAGAAAGAGGAAGAGAGAGAATCCCAAGCAGCCTTTGCACTATCAGCATAAAGCCCAACAGGGAGGCTCAAACCCACTAACCATGAGATTGTGACCAAAGCCAAAATCAAGAGTTGGAGGCTTAACCAACTAAGCCACCCAAGTGCCCCCAGTGTTCTCTTGGTCCCTGTCACCTGTTTTACCCATCTTCCCACCATCTCCCGTCTGGTAACCATCTGTTTGTTCTCTGTAATTAAACCTGTTTCTTGGTTTGTCTTTCTCTCTTTTTTTCCTTTTGCTCATTTGTTTTGTTTCACATTTTAAAATTTCTTTTATATTCTCATTGAATTTACCTTAGTGCCCTTGTCAAAAACCAGTCAATCAATGACGTATATGTAGGAATATCTCTGGCCTCTCTATTCTGTTCTATTGATTATTTCTTGCCAGTATTACATTGTTTTGATTATTCTGACTGTAATAAATTTTGAAATCAGTGAGTCTTCCAACTTTGCTCTTTTTCAAGATTGTTTTTGTTTTCACTAGTTTAGGTTCTTTGAAAGTTGTCAATTTCAAAACCTGCTGTGATTTTATTGGGATTATGTTGAATCTGTAGACGAATTTGAGGAGAATTGACTCTAACAATATGGAGTCTTCCAGTCAATATGTATGATTTATCTCTCCATTTATTTGGGTCTCTATCTATATGAAGCTATTATAAATGGTATTTTTATTGTACTTTCCAATTGTTCTTTAATTTATGTATTTTAATAATTTAAATAATTTAATATTAAAAATGTTAAATTAAAATTCTTTTTAATTTAACAGCCTTATTCAAGTATAATTTACATAATATAAAAATCACTCATTTTAAGCTTGCAGTTTAGTATGTTCTTAGGTCAATTCATACAGTTGTAAAACTATCACTATAATCTAGTTTTAGAATATTTCCGTCACTCCAGAAAGTTCCCTTGTGCCTGTTTGTAATCAGTCCCCACTCTCAACCCAGCTCTAGACAACTGCTGACTTCCTTTCTGTCCCTGTAATTTTATCTTTCTAGAAATTTCATATAGACAGAATCATATAATACCTAGTCTTATGTGTCTGACTTCTTAAACACAGTGTACTGTTTTCAGGTTCATCCATATTGTTGCAATCGTTCTTTCCTTTTTTATTATGGAATAATAAAATCCATTGTGTGGTTATACTACATTTTGTTTATTCATTCATCAGTTAATGGATATTTGGATGGTTTTCAATATGGAGCTATTTTGAATATTGCTGCTATGAACATTGTGCAAATTTTTGGGTGGATGTGTGTTTTCATTTCTCTTGGGTATATACCTAGGAATGGAATTGCTGGGTAATATGGTAACTGTGCTTAACTGAGGAACTGCCAGACTGTTTTCCAAAGTGGCTACACCATTTTACAGTTCCACCAACAGTATATGGAGATTCTTATCCTCCACGTCCTCGTCAACACTTTCTATCAGACTTGTGCATTATAGCCATCCCTAGTGGATGTGAAGTAGTATCTCATTGTGTTGATTTGCATTTCCCTGGTGACTAAGGATGTTGAACATCCTTTTATGTGTTCATTGGTCGTTTGTATATCTCCTTTGGAGAAGTGCATATTCAGATCTTTTACCCATCTTTTTTATTGAGGTAAAATCCACATAACATAAGAATTAACCATGTTAACGTATGCAGTACTGTGTTAAAGTATACAATTTACTGGCATTTAGTACATTCACAATGTTATGCAACCATCACTTGGTTCCAGAATGTTTTATCACTCCTAAAGGAAACAAAACACCATACCCATTGAGTAGTTACTCCTCATCTCTCTCTACCCCAGTCTTTGGTAATCATTAATTTGTTTGTTGTCTCTATAAATTTACCTATTCTGGAATTTTATACAAGTAGAATGATACAACATGTGACCTTTGTGGCTGGCATCTTTTACCTGGTGTAATGTTTGGAAGTTCATCTGCATTGTTCCATGTATCAGTACTTCATTGCTTTTTGTGATTAATATTCCATTGTATGAATATATTTCATAGTTGTTTATCCATTCATGAAACGATGGAAGCTTGTTATTTCCACTGTTTGGTTATTGTGAATAGTGTTGCTATAATTGTTCGTGTGTAAGTAATCAAAAGATTTTTTAGCTATCCTAGATCCCTTGATCTCTTCCATAAATTTTAGGATCAGCTTATCATTGATAATTTTTGCAAAGAGGTCAGCTGTGATTTTGATCTCATTGAATCTGTAGATCAACATAGGAGGTATTGGCATCAACAATGTTAATTCATCCAATTCATGAACACAGACTATCTTTACATGTATTTTAGTCTTTAATATTTTTCAATAATGTTTTGCAGTTTTCAAAGCAAACAGATTTTACTTCTTTTGTTAAATTGCAAATGGTATGCTTACTATTTTAAATTGCATTTTCCAATTGCTTTTTTTATCTGCCAGTACTTAGAAATACAATTAATTTTTAAATCAACATTTAAACCTGTATCCTGAAATCTTGCTAGCTTCGTTGTAGATTTCTTAGGATTTTTCTATGTAAATAATCATGTCATCTACAATTAAAGATACTGTTACCTTTTTATTTCCAATCTTTATGCCTTTATTTCTTTGTCTTGCCAATTGCACTGGCTAGGAGTTCTAGTACAATGCTGAATTGAAGTGGTGAGAGAGAGTACAGCCTTTATCCTGATCATTGAATAAAAGCATTCACTATTTCATCATTAAGTGTAATATAAACTTTAGGGCTTTTTTGTAACCATACTAGATTTTTCTTGAAGTGCCCTGACCCTGATTAAAATCAAGAGACACTAGTGTTAAGGCTGGGACTTTTTTAGCAAATGGAGACAATTTTTGAGATTTATTCAGAACAACTTTACCAGGCACAGGGTAGAAACCCAACCCACATTAGAATAAGCAAGAAGAGGAATTTGTTTTGTGTGCAGTAAGAACATCTAGGAGTCTATCTGCTTTAGGCAAGAGGGATCTGGGGAATCAAAATGCCATCAGAATAATTTCCATCTCTTGACTCTTCTTACATGTTTACTTCATTCTCAGCAGAAGTCTCCCTCCCCTACTTCTCATCACCTCATTTGCCAAAGATGTCACCATGAGCTCCAGATTTATGGCCAGCCAACTTAGCAACTCTAATGAGAAGAAAAGGCCTAGTTTTAAGTAGTTCTGAAAAAAAAAATTCTCAGGATTCATTATGTGGATCAACTCTGGTCACATGGCCATCCCTGAACCATCACTGTAGACAAGGAAATGGAATGCCCTCATTGGTCAGGCCCATCCTACCTGTTCCTTTCCCTTGGATCCAGGGGATGGGGTGAGCCCCACCAAAGTGTGATGGACTGAAGATGGGAGGGGCAGTTTCACAAAGAAAAATCAGAATATTATTTCTACAAAATGAGGGAATAGGTCTCAGCATAAACCACGACTGCCCACACCCTCATGCAGATGATCTCTGTGTGTTCCAGGTCTGGCACTATCCCTGGACTTCTCTGAGCTTCAGAGTCCAGCATGCAAGTGGTGGTCCCTGCCCTTCTTGGCCATATCTGAAAGGTCTCATGAGGCATTGTGTGGGGAAAGCTGTGTCTAAGCTATAAAATACAGTGCACACATAAGGGAGCAGTCATGAGAGTGATTACTAAACAGCTGTTCTAACCCATCTGTCCCTCTGTCTTCTTCTATCTCTCTCACAGAACACCTGAAGAAGCCACTTGAAGACTACATGGCCCTCTTCCCCAGTGTGAGGATTCTTCGAACCAAGAAACGGGAAGGGCTAATAAGGACCCGGATGCTGGGGGCCTCTGCAGCAACCGGGGATGTCATCACATTCTTAGACTCACACTGTGAAGCCAATGTCAACTGGCTCCCCCCCTTGCTCGGTAAGCAACCCTCCCAAGGCAAGGTAGGCCCCAGCCTTCTGCAGGGGTCATCCACAAGGGTTCTCTTGACTGCTTGAGATGCTGCCAGCCAATGCCAGGTGCCACGAGGGATTCAGGACTGCTCAGAGACCTTCATTTTACAGAGAAGGAAGCTGAGAGAGGAAGTGACTTGCCCAAAGTCATACAGCAGCATACTAATGTCTAGTTGTATGATTGTCTCTTCCAGATTAGTTGAAATTTTATTGGAAAGCCAGTCAAGGCTCTCTACTGTAGGAGCTACATTGTGGAGGGACATTAGCCTAGCAACTTAGAATAGTTAGCATTCAGTGCCCTGCTACCGAGCCAGGAAAGTTGTAAACGTTATCTCCAGTCCTCACAAAACCATGCCAGGTCAAAACTGTCCCCATTCTCATAGTAGAAGAAACCAGGTTTGGAGATACTGAGTGACTCAATATTGTTCCCTTGGGTCACAAGTGTCAAAGTCACCATCTCTGGCCCCAAAGTCTGTCTACTCTCAGAACTCACACTACCTCCCTAAATTCATTTCCTCTCTGGAGAGTTTCCAACAGCTATCAGGAAAGGGCTGTGGACAGGGCAGCGTGATCCAGGCGTCATCCAGCACAGCCACATGGACAGAAGGGAGATGAGGATTGGATGCTGGGCAGTGAGGTGCCTCATAACTGGCTGAAGAAGCAGGTCTAAATTCTACAGAGTTCAGATTTGTGGAAGGCGATGAGCTGGTGCTAACAGGCGGACATCAAAGAAGAAATGTCCCCCTTAATGGGACATTAAGCCTGGGAATCAGGTGAGGGACAGGCCAGAGACAGATTGGAAAATAGTTATCAATCCAGGGAGAAAAATAAAACTCACAAATGAGTAGGTACGCTCTCTGTAACAGAAAGCTCAGGAAGCAAAGAAGACTGTAGTTCATGGCCAGAATGAGCCTATGGCAGAATCACCTGGAAGACTCACTAAAATAGAAAGTGCTGACCCCACCCCAGAGTTTGATTGAAGAGGTCTGGGGTAGGGCCTGAGCAGCTGCTTTTTTTTTTTTTTAATATTTTATTTATTTTTGAGAGAGAGAGAGAGAGACAGCATGAGCAGGGAAAGGTCAGAGAGAGAGGGAGACACAGAATCCGAAGCAGGCCCCAGGCTCTGAACTAGCTGTCAGCACAGAGCCCGATGTGGGGCTCGAACCCACGAACCTTGAGATCATGCCCTAAGCTGAAGTCAGACGCTTAACCGACTGAGCCACCCAGACACCCCTGAGCAGCTGCATTTCTAACCAGCTAACCTGGTGCCAGCTGCTGATCCAGGGACCACACTTGGAGGAGCACTGGTTGGGCCATCAGGCAGAGCTGAGAACAGAAAGCAAAACCTGCACGGCTTAATCGGATAATCCAGCACATTCATTCTCTAACACAGATCAGCATGGAACTTCAGTATTAAATTATACTCTTCTGACCCCAAGGGTCCAGGATCCTGCTGGGTTAGGAAAAGGATATAACCTACACTTTCTGGTAAACTCTTTATCTAATTAAACCAAGAGATCTCTGCATCTGCCTCTCATTACTAAAAAAGAAAAAGAGAGAAAAAAGTGTGACCATAAATCACCTAATTTATAGTGCTGAGGAAACAACCCATTTGTTGGGTCATTCAGTGACTCATAAAGAGAATGAAGTGGTGGGGCAGGAAGCTGAGCTTGGAGTCTAAATAGCCCTTAACTCTGTTTCTATGGAAATATATGAGCTTAATTTTCATAATCTGCAGAATACATGGAGGAAACATTCTCCCTCTTTTTATTTTTTATTTTTCCAATAGGAATGTGAACCAATGTTATAGATGTAAACGTCTGTCCCTGTTAACATGAGCAGCCGACAGAGTGCATCAGGGCTTTTGTCTCTAAACCATTAACACCTCCATGCACAGCTCTCTCTGCCTTCTGGGGAGATGAGGCATTCCTGAGCCTGAGAAGGATTCAGCCTCCCAAAGGAAAGCCACTCTTGATCCTCACTGCTGCCGCCACCATCACCACCACCACCACCACCATCATCATCATCATCATCATCATCATCATCATCATCATCATCACAGCTCTGCTAGTCCGTTAGCTTTTTAGGCCACAGCCACATTTGAATTTGACAGTTAGTGGGAATGCAGACAGGCCAGACGTTATTATCCACATAGAACAAATGAGAAAACTAAAGACCAAAGAGAATGAGGGAAATGCTGAGCTTCTGAGCTTCTTTCAGCAATCCTGCTCACAGCAATGTCCGCGCAGCACTAATGAGATGTGTGAATGTGCGAGAGGCTGGGCTAAGCACCTGGGCCCCACTGTCCCACTTGGTCTTCACAGGAACCCCACAAGACAGGTGCTGTTTTCCTTCATTTTGTCGGCAAGGAAGCTAAGTTTCGGAGGCATCAGATAACCTTTGTCAAGGTTATACTGCTTGTGGGTGACAAAACCAGGGTTGGGACCTGAGCAATCTGTCCCCAGGTGAGTGCAGCACCCTGGAATGCTGGCTCTCTGATGCTAAGCCTTGACCCCTCCCACCTCCCATTTTCAGCCAGCCTGCCGCAGGCCCAGAGCCTCTCCAGAAGTGAGATCCCCTGCATGGCCATGAATAATTTGGAAGGGAGGCACCTCTCTAGATCTTTCCCTGGAGAAGTTTCTTCGACTTCATTAGGAATCCCTAGGGAGCCTGTTTGCAAGGCAGTTGCAAGCTCCACCCCCAGAGATTCTAGTCAGTGCACCTGGGGCAGGTGTTTTTTAAATACATCATGGGTACATCGAGCCCTGGTAGCCCAGAGGACACACTGCTGAAAGCAGCCCTTCTCAGGCTTTGTTAAAACTATGTGCCACAGTTAGAAATACATTGGACATCTCAATCCAATATGCAGATACATACCCATGCAATATAACGGAAACCCGTTTCTTGAAAAAATACTTTTTCTTATCAGGTGGAATGCACCCTGACACTCAGTATTCTTTTTTGGTTCATTACACACACACACACACACACACACACACACACACACTCAATCAATTTAATGACCCATCTATGAATTGTGTCTTGCAATTTAGAAAAGGGCAAAAATGCTGCTCTCTCTCAGAAGAAAAAAGTACTTGATGAAGCCTGAGCCCGCACCAGGCAGCTCCCAGCCTACACTGGCCCTACCAGACTTTACATTCCCAGCCTTGAACTGGACTGCTGGCCCAAGCAGCCAGGCACCCCAACACAGACCACTTGCCCATCTATCACTGGCACCCCCAAGCTGCAGCCACAGCTTCTTGGCAGAAGGAACACTGAAGAACAGAGCAAACCAAAGCTTAAAATTCTGGTTGGTTCGGTGGGTAGAGTGCATTTTACAGAATCAGCTTCTCCCTGGCTTAAAGGGGACCATAAAAAGCCATCTGGCTAGGGACTGCCCTTGCCATCTTGAATCACCTAGCCTGTAGCATTCCTGCAGGGCAGAGGGCTGCCAGGCCTTGCTCGCACATCAGTCATGAGGAGCTCATGGGATAGTCCATGCCCTCCTCAGTAGTTCTGACTGTTGGAAAAAGCGAGCTGAACTCTCTTGCAAGGAGGGCCATTTGTTCACTGACCATAGCTGGGAAGTTTTGAGGACCTGTGAGGGGTGAGTGCTGGGGTGCCTGGCTACTTCAGGCCGGGAGTCAAGTTTAGGACTCAGAATGCAGAGCCTGACAAGGCCAGAGCAGGAGCCTTCTCAGAAGGAAATTAACTTCTCTTTCTGCAACAGTGCTGACCATTACAGGCAACCGTGCTGGACACCCCTAACCACCGTTGGATCCAGTACTCATAGCAGCCTGTGGTGCTGAGACTCTTCTCCCCATTTCACAGAGGAGAGCACCGGGGCTCAGAAGCATTATTTATGTAGCTCAGGGGAACAGGCCTGGGATGGGAGCCCTGGTCCATCTTTCTTAAAGCCTGCACTCTCCCTTGCTCTTGGGATTCTCAAACTCGAGTGTTCAGAGCAATCACTCAGGGAACACATTAAGAATGCAAGCAAGGTGCAGAGCAGGGTTGTGGACATAGCTACTCCCCCCATCCTGCCTCCCTAACGGGCATCTCTTGGCTTCTTCAGACCGCATCGCCCGGAACCGCAAGACCATTGTGTGCCCAATGATTGACGTGATCGACCACGATGACTTTCGGTATGAAACACAGGCCGGGGATGCCATGCGGGGCGCCTTTGACTGGGAGATGTACTATAAGCGGATCCCAATACCTCCAGAACTGCAGAAAGCTGACCCAAGCGACCCATTTGAGTAAGTACGAGTGACCTTGGCTGGTCCCAGTGGCTAACCTAGTGACCCCTTGCCAACACACCCAACTTGTGACTGCCATCTTCCCCTAAAGTGCCAGTGCAGGGGAACCTGGATAAACATTCCCTACCAGAAGCACAGCCCCTCCCAGCATGTCACAGCGCTCAGCTCAGGGACATCCCAGCTGGCCACCTCTGTGCAGAGGGACTGCCAGCGGGGGGTGAACATGGTTGCTGTCTCCCTCAAGCCTAGCACCCAGTCGTCAGCAAGACCAGCATCACCACCACCACCACTTACGAACACTTTCTAGAGGCCACGCACAGTGCTGAGCATATTACATGCTGATCCTTTTTAACCCCCAACAGCCATATGTAGTAAAAATTATTATCCATATTTCCCACATGAGGACACCAAGGCTCTAGGAGGTTAAGCAACTTTTCCAGGTCTCACAACTATGAAGCGGTAAAGGCTGGACGCACGTGCAGGTCTGTCTGCCCCTGGCGCCAGTGTCTCGGCATTCAGTTAGGCCCTCTTGGAAGTGTTAGGAAATAGCAGCCTGTCCCACGGTCAGTGTGGGGTGGACCCGAAACATCCTAGAATGTGAAAGCTGGGGGGACCTACAGGTAATGGACTCCAGTCCCTGGCAGATGGGGAGACCGTAGCCCCAGGACAGGGGGGAGCTAACTTACACAGTGAGTCGATGGCCAGCCCAGAATCAGAGCCCATGTCTCTGGTGCCCCTCCTGTGCTGCCCTGTGAGCCATTCTGGCCCCCTTCCTTGAGCTGTGGAAAGACCTTTGGGTACAAAGCCAAAGTCCAGCCTTCTGCTGTATTAGTTTCCTAATTATGAATTACTCAAAATTCACTGACTTATTAAAACAACACAGATTTATTCTCTTAAAGTTCTTGAGGTCAGAATTCTGAAAAGGAGTCTAACTGAGCTAAAGTCATGGTGTAGGGCAGGCTCTAGGGAAGAGTCTGTTGGCTTGTTCTTTCCAGCTTCTAGAGGCTGCCCACATTCTTTGGCTCGTGGCTCCTTTCTCCATCTTCAAAAAAAAATTTTTTTTTCAAGTATTCATTTTTTTGAGAGAGAGGGAGAAACAGAAAGACAGAGAGACAGAGCGTGAGAGGGGGAGGGGCAAAGAGAGGGAGACACAGAATCCAAAGCAGGCTCCATCTGAGTTATTAGCACAGAGCCTGACGTAGGGCTTAAACTTAGGAACTGCGAATTCACAACGTGAGCCAAAGTGGGACGTTTAACTGAGACATCCAGGTATCCCACTTTCTCTGTCTTCAAAGCCAGCAGCCTAACATGTCCAAGTCTCCCTCTCCTTCCTTCTGCCATCACTCCCCCTCCTCCTCCTACCTCCTCTCCCCCAACTGTGTCCGCGGCTCCTGCTTTCATCATCACATCTCCTTCTGTAACCCTGACCCTCCTGCCTCCTTCTTTCACGTGTGAGGACCCCTGGGAGTACACTGGGCCCACTGGGACAATCTCCCTATCTTAGATCCTTCACTTAATTGTAAGTGTAAGGTGACATATTCCCAAGTTCCAGGAATTAGGCATTGGCTTCTTTGAAGGGGCTTGGTTACCACACCTCCCTAACCACAGTTTAACCCCAGTGAACTCCAGCTCCCCTGTGCCTCACACTCCCCCACTGAGAAGGGTGTTCCTGAGGGGAGCCCCTACTGCTATGGGCCCAAGGGAGGGCTCCGAGGGAGGAAGAGGCCATACTTGGTGGCAAGGGAGTAGCATGAGCTGAGAGCAGAGGGCATGGGTGGAGCCCCATTCCTCTTGAGCAGGTCAGACGTTTGTGTTCTTATCCTGACCTCCGGTATCCTAAACATGGTCAACCACTGCTATTGGAACCCAAGACCACATCATTCAGGCAGCACCCTCCATATGCCCAAGGCAATTCCCAGTTGCCCCGAGTTCTTGGAGAGTAACACTAATAAGAGGAGTAACTAACATCTGAGCTGAGCAGTCACAGCTGACATTACTGCACCCGATCCTCAAAACAGCGCCCCAGGGTGTAGGTAGAATTCTCCACCTTTGACTGACACAGACCCTGTGGCTCAGAGAGGACATGAGACTCGCCCAAGACGACACATGGCAGAGGCTGAGGTCAAAATGGGTTACTGCAGAAAACAGAATTTTCAGGGTAACCAGAACCCCTTTTGGTTTGGACCAGTACCATACGCTGACTCATGGGCCTTACATTTGAAATGTGTATTAAGGATGGGTCTTGGCACATTCATCTTCCTCATTGCAAGATGAGGAGAGGCTCAGTCCAGGTCATGTGGCTGCTTAGTAGCAGAGGCCCCAGTAGGTCCCCTCCACCCCACCCTCTGGGGCCTCAGTCGTCTCACCTGGATATTGAAGGCGTTGGACCTGCCCTGGAGCAGTGGCTCTCAACCCTGGCCGCACATTGGCATCACCTGGGGAGTTTGTAAAAACAAACAAACAAAACCCACCAGGGCAGTCCCCACCCCCACCCCAAGACCAGTCACACAAGAGTCTGGGATGGGTTCTAAGCATCAAAGTTCTTTAAAGCCCCCCCCAGTGATGCTAATGTGTGGCCTCGGTTGAGAGCCACTGGTCTAGATGCTTCCCGAGGGACTCTCCATCCTTCTATCTTCTGATTCTTTCCAAAGGTATCTTTTCTGTACTGTACTTGGACAAAACCCGGGAGAGAGACCACTGAAAAAATCGTAGTCATCTTCTGCACACCGCTCCACGGTGCCAGCACAGAGCAGTCTGCAGGCCCAGGGCGATAGAATGGTATTTGAAGGACACGGGCTTGGGTGGCAGATCCCGGCTGGAACCACAGCTCATCCACTTACTAACCGCATGCCCTTGAGCAGACTATGTAGCTTTTCTGAATTTCAAGTTTCTCCATCTGAAAAGGGGTCTAGTAGAGCTTTGTGAGAGCTGGAGATGATCTCGGTAAAGTGAGTGGTAGACACTAGATGCTCAGAACTGTGTTATTGTTCTTTTTTTTTTGTTTTTTAATTTTTTAAAATTTATCTCTGAGAGAGAGAGAGAGAGAGAGACAGCATAAGCAGGGGAGGGTCAGAGAGAGAGAGGGAGATACAGAATCTGAAACAGGCTCCAGGCTCTGAGCTGGCTGTCAGCACAGAACCTGATGCGGCACTCGAACCCACGAACGGAGAGATCATGACCTGAGCTGAGTCAGATGCTTAACCGACTGAGCCACCCAGGCGCCCCGAACTGTGTTATTGTTCTTGCTGAACACAGCAGAAAATAGACCGGGCTGGAGGAGAGGCCTCCCTCTCGAGGCCAGCCTCAAGCATCCAAAATGCCTTAAGGCTCATCTTCTCCCTGTTCCGCCACGGCTTGGTCCTTGCCCCTGGCTTCCACCCAGGCTGATTTCCGCATTCAGAGTATTGGGTTTGGTTTCCCATGAAGCACTGGTCCAGAAACACTGTCTGCCTCTCTGAGCAGTGTATTTGTGCCTCCAGCCAAAAATCTTCAGAAAAGAAAGGAAAGTTGATACTAGACACCATACTTTTCATAGTACTGGGTACTTTCAGAAATGTAACAGGAATGTGAGCTAAGAATTGTAGCAGCATGTTCATTGCATAGATGGGGGACGGGCTTGGAGATGTTAAATCAGCACTGCCCCATAGCAATATCATGGGAGCCACATAAATACTTCTAAATTTTTTAGTGGCCACATAAAAAAGGTAAAGAGAAGCAGGGAAGATTCATTTTTATAATATACTCTGTTTAACCCAGTATATCTAAAAATAGTCTCATTTTAACATGTAACCAACACTTTGATATTATTTTTTTAAGACTTTATGTTTACGTAATCTCTACACCCAGCGCAGGGCTCAAACTCTCAACCCCAAGATCAAGAGTCACACACCCTACCAGGTGAGCCAGCCAGGCACCCCTGAAATGATTAATGAAAACTTTTCTATTATTTTTTTCACATTAAGACTTGGAAATCAGTGTGTACCTTACACTCCCGGCACATCTCAATTCAGAGCAGCAGTTCCAGCTGTTCAGTGGCCCCATATGGCCCTTGGCTGCTACAGCGGGTGACAAGGGGTTCAGTGGTTAAACACCTGATCTCATATCACACCAAAGGTAAAGGAGAGCGGGAGTGACAGTTTCCCATCCCTGTTCTCCTGTCCTTTTCACTCATTACCTCCCTCTCCACGGTTCCTGCCTGATAGGAGGCAGAGTTCTGTGGTCCTGGGGAGTGTGAGCTCTGGCATAGATTAGAGACAAGTCCTGCTTAGTAGCTGTGAAGCCTTGAGCAAGTTACCTACCTGTCTGCACTCCAGTTTACACATGCATTAATGGGCTAATAAGGATGGGGCCCACCTCGTGATGTCAGCGCAGGATGTAGTCATTTTATTAAAACATCAGTCCAGCAACCACCTGCCACATTCAAGCCCTCAGTGAATATTCAAGGGGATCTTCTTTTAAAGGAGTCCCTCCCATGCTGTCAAGGGTCATCAGCTACAAGAAGCTTGGGAGGCAGGTGGGTCAGCTAATTTCTTTTTAAATTACCCCAGTTCCCATGAGCCTGGAGTTCCCAGGGCCAGGAGGTGGCCTGGAGTTTACTGCTGGAATGTTATTTGGCTTGAGGGTCTGGAGTTTTCCAGTGGAGCCAGACGAGGTCAAGGACACAGCCACTCTGCAAGATTTTCACTCAGCAAATACCGGCGGCCCCTCTTAGGAGCCAGTCCTGTGTGAGGCACCAGGGAGGACTCAGGCAGGCTGCAGCACGCCACCCCTGCCCTGGGGCCTGGCATGATGCTACGCTGACTTGTCCCCCATGGTGCTCCTCGATTTATCATCTCTGTGCCCTTTTCCTGTGGTTTTCCCCTCCAGTCCAGGGTACCTTCCTCTCTCTTCATTGCTCACTTGTCCAAACAAAACCCACCTCCCCCAGCACCCTTCCCCTGGCTCTTGACCCAGCCTACCTCCTCACCCCCAAAACCTGGCCGCAGACACTGCCTTCTTTCATGTTCCCTTAGTGCTGTCTATACCTCCCAGGGGCCCTCGTTACACCTCACCTGTCTTCTGGATCCTTCTGTCCTCAGGTCGCTGCCCTGTCACACTAGCATCCCCCGAACTCCCAGGCCAGCTCCCATCTACCTGCACATCCTTCCAGGATCTCCTGCTCAGCTGGCCCTCGCTGAGTAATGAGACAGTGAAGGTGCGAAATTCGTCTTAGCCCACTTTAACTGAAAGAGCAGAGGCTGTGTCTTCTTCAGCAAAGTCGTGTCCAGTGCTGGGCTGCCTGAGGGACTCTCATCTAAGGAAGCCTGTTTGAAAACATGCATTCCTAGACTGCATCCCGCAGGGACTGCTTCCTAGGTCTGGGGTAGGGCCCAGCAAACTGCGTGTTTTGTCATCTCTCTAAGAGATTCTACCATGCAGACAGGCTCGGAGGCACCTGATTCAGTCCATTTAACCTGTGGGAGGACTGGAGATGCATAGACCATTTAGCTGCCAGGCACACGTTACTGTGATTTCCTCTCACAAGTAACCGTGGAAAGGAGCTCCGGAGCCGTTTGGCTAAAATGTACTATTTAAAGAAGGGAAGTCGTGGAGAGGAAGAAGATAGCCTGGACCCTCACTTGGAAGGGCGTTGGATTCCCTGTTAGACGCATAGGCTGTGCCCTTGGGTCGGCGTGCAGCACCTTCCCCGGGGGACCCGCAGTGTCAGCGTGCACTCAGAGCCTGCAGCCGGGACGTTTTGTCTTCACACCACACTCTTCTTCCCTGACAGGTCTCCCGTGATGGCCGGTGGACTGTTTGCTGTGGATCGGAAATGGTTCTGGGAGTTGGGTGGGTACGACCCAGGCCTGGAGATCTGGGGAGGGGAGCAGTATGAAATCTCATTCAAGGTGAGCCTGCTCTTCATAAGCCCCCTTCTCTTTGCCACACCCCCTTGGCTTTCTGAGCCTGGAAAGACTGGATGCTCAGGGTTCGGCAGTCTCTGCTCCTCAGGTGACACGTCAGGGGCCGTGGGCCACTCCTTCCTGCGTGTGTATAGTGAAGGTGGGGTGTTTCCATAGTCTGCTAAAGACTGGCCTTAACCGCAGCTCTGACTGCCATTTACCTTAACATTGTCCCCTTCTTAGGATGGCAGTGTTAGAATAAGACAGGTCTTGCTTCCAGCAAACCAGCAGTGGGGAAGAGAAGCTGCGGTGAGCAGGACACACAGGCCTGGAGGGGTGCTGTGCTCCGGGAATGGCCCCTGGCCTCGCAGATTCCCACTTATCCTTAGTAGGTCCTGGCCACCCCTCTCAAATTCCCTTTCTCTGCATCCACCACTGCTGCAGTTTGCCATAGAGACCAGTGGTCGGGAGCTCAAGTTGTGGAGTCAGAGGAGCATGGGTTCAAATCTCAGCTCCACCTCTCAGGAGCTGTGTGATTTGGGGCAAGTCAGATTAGCTTTCTTTCCTCGTCTGAAATAAGGGAATAATAATACTACCTACCTTACAGAGCTATTGCAAAGATTAAATGAGATAGTATCTTAGAAGTGCTTCACATGCCACCTGGAGACACAGCCAGCAATTAAAAATGGGTAGAAATTATTCAAGATCCAGTGAATAAATATTTACTCGATCGGACCAGCCATGTGCTGTAGAAGCTTGCTGACAATGGTAGTAGAGGACATGGCGGTTACTAGTTAGCCACCCACACTTCTGGGGCCACTTTCTCCCCTTCACTTTCCATATTGGTCTCAGGTGAAGAACAGAGGCTAGGTCCCTCTGAGGGGAGGATTAGGCTTATCCTGTGCCCTTACATCCGGCCAGGGCTTGCTTCTGCATCCCTAGGACCCCTGGAAGGGAATACCCCCAGCCCACGAGGGATGGCCAGTGGCACCACTATTGGGCTGAGCCCTGTGAATACACAACCCTGTGATGCCCCCGGAATTGGACATCAGCTTTTTAGGCAGGACTCCACTGTCTCACACAGTGGTTGAGACTTCGGTGCTGGGGTCAGATCCAGGCTCTACCACTTCCAACAGACTGTGTGATCTCAGACGAGGAAGGCTCATCTCACTGAGCCTTGGTTCCTGCTTCCACAAAATGAGCTTAATGACACTTGAATCCTCACAGGATTGTTTGGAGGATTAAATGCACCCATGATGGTTGGGTGCTTCTTAACAACATCCTAAAGATTATTTTCATTATCGACATCATTACTGTCACCATGTACACCGCTGGTTGAGCAGTTCAGAACTAGGGAACATAAATTCTTGATTAGCAAGAAAAGAACAACCTGGAATTCTACCAAAACATTGTTTTGGTTTGAAGGGTGGTCTGTGTCTATTTTACCTCCAAAGTTCTGAAGCTGTCTCCCATAAGGGGACCAGCCCCTACCTAACGAACACTCATGTCCAGGGTTGGTGTTCATTTAATGGCAATGGCGGCCCAGGCACCAACCAGTCAGAGCGGATACCAGCTGCAAACAAGTGTGCGTCCGCTCTGGTCCACCACAGCTGAATTTGAGCCCTGCTCAGAGCTGACTGGACACTGCTCCAAGCCCTTCACATGTGTTGTCTTTAATCCCCCAGCAGCCCTAGCAGAGCAGTGTCATCATCAGAGCATCTCACAGGAAGGCAAGTGGGGCTCAGCCCAGGGCCCCACCCGGAAGTAACCAGGACCTGACCCCAGGGGTGTCTGACTGCAGATGCTCTGCTCTGACCTGCCACGATTCCTAGGCCCCTGTAGGGACCGAAGAGAGCACTAGAGAGGAAAACCAGCCTGAGAAGTTGGCAGCAGTCTTTCCCCCTTTCTTCTGTTTTTGCCACCTCCTGGGGTTGTTCTTAATTTACTGGGATATTCTACAGTCTCTCAGTGAAGTGGATTAGTGACCGTCTAAGTGAGAAGCAGCGAATAGGTTCTTCTCCCAGCCATCTGTGATCTGCTCTCAGATAGGGGCTTCCCAGCGCTGTGCTGATATGTATTGCGAAGCTGCATCCAAGCTGATCAGAATGAGTGGTGACTGATGAGTGATGTCTGCCACGGGTGCAGGTCTGGCAAGTGATGGCACAAATGTCATTTATTGAGTATCCGTAGCCCGTGCAGTCTAGCTTTCCAAATGTCACATCCTTATGGGTACAGTGAAATCACACACAAGGAATCAAAGGACTTTTAACTTCATAATTTGTCAATACAGCAATCGAACAAACTTGATTTGTCAAGTTTTCTGCCAAGTGCATCCCCAGAAATGGCCACACCTGTGTTCTGAGTGCTCACCAGAATGTAAATTTCAGTAGGGTAGGATTATTTGTGTGTTTCACCCATTACTTTGTCCCAGGTACCGAAAGGATTGCCTGACATGGAGGGGGCACTTAATACATACGTGTTGGTGTGTCACTCAGAGCAGGTGTATCGCTGGCCAGAAACCATCCTCCGTGGTCAAGAAGTCCCCCTTCAGAAACGCCCTCTGTGGAGAATAGTGAACAGAGAAGGATTTGCACAAAGGAATTCCTAAACCCAAAATGATTTCATTCTGTGTGTTTCAAAGACCCATCTAATGATGCTCATCAGGCAATTACAGCAGAACAAATGGCATTTTTCTCCACACAGTTTATTTACAAAAGACTTGGTAATGAAACCATATTGGAAATCTCTCATCCGGGAGGGGGGAGGAGGCTGGCTCCGGTTTCCATTTGCTCCAATTAATGTCCTTCACTCTCGAGGGGAAAGGGCTCTGTGTATTGAGGAGGCTCCCAGGTCTGGAAGGAAGACCTTCCTCTGTTTTCTCTGTCCTGGCTTTGAGAGCATGAGTTCCCAGAGCCCGTGGCAGTCCATCTGCCAGTGCATTGTCCCCGAGCCCCTGTGGAAGGCCTGCCCACAGTGCAGAGGAGACAGGCAAGCCCATTCATCTGCCAGAGAGGCCTCCCCGAAATGCAGGTGTTCCATTTCAGCCAGAAAGGGGCATTTTCAAAGGGCCGTATTCCTTCTGCTTAATCTCTGCTAAGACCCCTTTTCTTCCTGGTGATGGAGAAGAGAGACTGGTCTGAAAGGTCTGAGTGCATTTTCAGAAATTAAGATAAATTGATATGGGCCATCAGGACTGATGAATTAGTAATTTGGCGCCAATTCCAGACTAGTCCATCTATCCTGATGGGAAAGCCCTAGAAAAGGTGTTCTAAAGGCTCTGAAATTTCTGGAAGAGTCATTGATTTTTTTTTTTTCCACTCTCTTTCTCAGCCAGGAAAGATTTTGTTTCCAAAAGGCACAGTCACACCATCGTAGTCCTCCTGCTTAGTGGTTAGAACCTTCCCAGTTCTAGTGGCCAGTTAAATCTTTAACTCCAGAGCCTGCCTGTACCTGCCTCTGTGAACTGACCCCTGCTCATCTCTCTGCCCTCCATCTCTTACCACGTTGCATTAGTCTGCACTCTAGGTTACAGATGCCCAAAATTCTAGTCAATCTGATTTAAGCAAAAAATCAGAATCAATTGGCTCACACAGTTGAAATTCCAGGGCAGATCCAGAGACTAACTCATCTCATTCAGTCTCTATCTCTCTCGTCCCTTGGCTCTGCTTTCATCTAGATTGGCTTCCTGCTCACGGCTTTCTCTCTGTGGACCCAGCATCCCACTGGAGAGAGAGTTCCATCTTTCCCATCATTCCTGTAGAAGTCCCCAAGTTGAGTCTCACTGGCCTACTCATTCCTTGCCCATCCCTGAGCAATGTCATGATTGGTCAGCTGCAGTCACATGCCCATCCAGACAGGAAGTGGAGATAAGCTGGTCCCCAGTCATTGTATCCAGAAGAATGAATGTGGGGCAGGGCAGACCACAGAAGTCTACACAGCCATACGGAGCTGTTCACAAGCCCCAGGCTCATGTGTCAGGTCATCTTTGGAAGCAGGCACTGTTCACTCCTCTTGAAATGCCTTTCCTTAGTCTGGCTAGCCCACACTCTGCCTTACCTGAGCTGTGTGTGCGAATAAGGCTCCACCCCAACATTACTCCTGGCTTGGCTCTGAATTCCTCATGTTGACATGCGCCAGGGGGTGGCCTGTCTTCCCCACTGGCCTCTGAGCTCCCTGGAGGCCATCTTTTTACCCAGTGGCCCATAGTAGATGTTTTAAATAACTGTTAGTTTATCAGAAATTTATCAATTTCTGTCTGATAAAACTTCCTTTGCCCTGCTCTTCCTTTGCCCTGCTCTTCCCAGACTTACATCACCACCTTTTGGTAGTGGTGGTGTGGTGGGAAGAGTACTCAGTGAGAAGGCAGGGCACTGGCTTCTTATCTTGGCTTTCGATTAATCTATCCATCCATCTGGGGATCCTAGACCAATTGCTTGACCTCTTTGGCACTCACATCCCAGGAAGTGCTGATATAGCTTTTCTACTTGCCCCATGAGATCAGATCAAATAAGATGCTGTGGGGAAAGTCCTTTGACTTACACAGGTGTAAGGGTGGTTTGGATTAGAGGTAGTAGCAGTAGAATGAGCCAGAAAGGGAACTGCACAGTGTCCTTGGGAGGCCAGGGTTAGGACATCTTCATCTCTCAGATCCAGGAGAGGGAGTTTTCATAGGAAAACATGGTGAGCTGGCAGGAGAAAGGCAGGCCTTGCAATGTTATAAGTGGATACCTCTTGTTGATGGCAAAAGCGGAAGATTGACAAGACCCAAATATATGTCCTTAGGGAATAAGTAAGAGCACATCTAAAGAATGGAATATTATGTAAAAAGAATTAGATGCCTCCAAAATTAAGTTTAAACAGAAATGAAAAATAGTATCAGGGCGCCTGGGTGGCTCAGTCTATTGAGTGTCTGTTGATTTCAACTCAGGTCATGATCTCAGGGTTCATGGGCTCGAGTCCCATGTCGGGCTCTGTGCTGATGGCCCAGAGAGCCTGCTTGAGATTCT